TATTGTTCCAAGAAACATGACCTCTCTAGATTCAACACGTATGGTAAGCCCTATTCAGTATTATGCTTTGTCTATAGTTCTTGGAGATCTCATATTTCATAAAGACACACAGCCTTCGCTTATACAAAAGTGTTTTAAACATAGTGGTAGAGAAAAGCATGGAGACGTGACCCTGGCTGAACCCTAAAATTTGAAAATAACAGAAAAACATTTGAAGAAGTCACTTTTGTTATTTATGTGAGGCCGGGTCATAGCCAGTGTGTGGCTTCTTAATATTTATGATCCAGAACATTCCTGTCAGTGCAATACTTACTCAGGTGTGTGGTGATGAAATAAGTATTCACATTGTTAACAGTTTAATTCCAGATTTAATTCCATATCCTAATCAGAAAGAAACAACACCTAACATCCCAGGAAGCTCTGAGGCCTTTTCAAAGCCCTGTGAACAGGGCACAATCCCTCAGCCAAAACGCAGGATCTCTGTTTCAAACCATAGTGGTTTAGTGACTGTTGTGTGTTTGACTAAATGGAGAAGCGTTTCTTTTGTTAACGTAAGCAGGAAAAACTCCATCTCTTTTCTCTAATTCAATAGTTGAAATAAATCTGTCCTTGCATCGGAGGATAATAGTGTCTTTAAATGCCAATGTACGAGTGGTCCTTGAAATTGAACATCAGTGAGCCTTACCTCAATACTGGTAAGAACACTGTTTTTCTTTTGGGTATGGGTTTTTTTTGTTTGTTTGTTTTGTGATAGTGTTGGTTTGCAGATGGAGAGCAGAGATTAGTTGGCTGTTAGTTTGGGTGTTTGTTTCTCTCTCTTTTTTTTTTTTTTTTTTTTTTAATCATAAGCCTCTGTTCTATGGTCCCACAACTGTCAGGCAAATCTCCTGATTTCCTGAAGGACTGAATAAACTGAAATATTCTTGATCGTAGCTCTGTGGATCTTCCTGGCTTTATAAAGTAGGAAATGGAAACTAGAAGCTTAGTGCCCTCTCTTAGGAACTGGAAGAGACTTGAAGCTCAATAAGTGCTTTCCTTATTGGTGCCCCTTCTCTTCTGCTTTTGACAGCTATTTTTAGGCTTTATTCTAAATGATCATTTGTTGTTTTCTTTAAAAGCTAAAAAGAAGAGGTTATCTGCAACTGTTATCTGATCACATGAAGGCAGGAGGGCTGCCTCAAAGAACTGCTGTGCAGGAGGCTTTTTAGGCCAGTTAAATAACTGGTGCATGGTAAAGGCAGCAGCTGTTTTTAAGAACCTCTTCAGCTTTGAGTAAGTGTCTTGCTGGTCAAGCGGTACACACATGCCAAAGAACTGTGCTTTGTGAAAATCACCAGAGCTTGTAAGTAATTTTTCTTTGTAAAAAACACTTGCAAAGTACAAAAAGATACATTCCTGACTGCTGGGGCCTGAACACATAACCAAGAGTGGAAAGTGAGAGGTAAATTAGAGACAGTAGATGCATCAACCTTCAGTTATTAATTTCAGAGATAACTATTTCTGATGTCAATTCTCAACAGCAGCTGTAAGACACCAAATTTTTATGACATACACAGAGATTTTGAGGCAAAAGAGAGATAAGAGCATGATACGATATTGTTGAAACAATATAGTTTCCTTATAAAACAAGGTAATAGGTGGAAGACAACGAACTGCCCTGTTTATATATTCCAAAAGTTTTAATACGGTTAAGGACATCAGACTAGTTTGTGCTTAAAAAGTACTTGCATGACTGTAAACCGGGAGGGATTTTGGAACAATTACTAGTATCAGTAAATGTCCTGATTAGACAGTTATATCAAATCTTATTTTGCTGCTTGAAATAGAATATGCTATATCAATATTTAAAAATCAATACAGAAGGAGATCTTGCTGCCCTAAATATCCTGCTAAGGGCTAAATTTGTTCACCAATGTAATGGGCATAGAAAAGGAAAAAGCTGCAGAGTTGTGTGTCACTGTATGAAATGTCCTAGTGTGCATGCCCTTCCCATATGTGGTGGTGGGGAGCTGTGATCCTGAAGTGCTCTGAAAAATCTGCTAATGGCAATTTCCAACCTAGACGAAGGCTATCTAACTCCTGTTCCCTTCCTTCCTGCACCAGTTACACTACTCTCTGGAGTGACATAGATGTGTCTCAGGGTTGCAGGTTTATTAAGAAAGACCTGAAAAACTGTAGGGTGATTGAAATTGTCCTGTAGGCCAGGTCCAGCCTGCCAGCTGCTACCTGGGCAGTTCTTACACTTAAGTGGATGATGTTAACTCAAATATTAAGAAGCCTAGTTTATATGCAGCAGTAGTAGCAAATATAACTTCTTGCTTTGTCCCCAGCACTGCTGCAAAGCAGCACCTTTGAGGTAATATCCTTTGCTCACCTTGTACACCCTTAAGCTGAAAAAGGGGACTGCATGTTTGTTTTGCAATCATTCTGCATCCCCACCAGTTTACTTTGCTCTTTACTCCTGACTCCCTCTTCACTTTGATTCTGCTAACTCTGTGACTTTGACTCTCTAGGTTGTGTTATACTGGTTATAGTGGGATGAAAAACACAATAGGTGGTTATAATGATCTCTTCTTTTGCTAAGAATGTCTGTTGTGGTGCACAGGGGATGAGAAAATTAGTCTGAAGTGGTGATGAGCAGAGGAGGCTGGGAGCACAGACAACAAGGTAATATATTAATGTTTGAGGGATAGGAGGAAGGCAAATATAGCCTGTATGCATATGCAAAAAAAAAAAAAAAAAAGCCATCAAGGTGGAGCCAGCCCAATTCTGTCTTGTGCAGGGTTAGTAGTGTACAGGGAGTACACTACAGTAGATTTCCTCTTCTATGATTTAATGGAAAACAGTAAGCTTTCGCTAAGTGGTGGCTAAAATGTTTTCTAAAGCTAGATTGAATATAGCTGTTCCACAGTTATTATATTAAGGATCAACATAAATGACTTCAGGATACCAAAGAAAAAACCTGGAACTTGGAATGCTTTTAAAAAGGACTTGGAAGCGCCTGAGGACCACTAAGATTACTGTTATACTTGTGTTCTCAGTGAATAGATGATTACTGGCAGACGTTATCCTGATGCTGTTCTTTATCATGGTGAGGGAGGTTCTTACCAGCATCACTGTCACAAGCAACATGCCCTGGATCTGTGCAGGGCCTGTGCTGTTCGACATGTTCATAAATGATTTGGAGTATAGTGCCAATGCTGAAATAACAGAGTTAGCTGCTGATTTGAAGTTATTGATGGTGACTACATCAAGGGCTGCTCTAAAGAGTAGCAGCAATAATTAGCTACAGTCAAAAAACAAATGGAATGTTAAGAATTAGAACAGTACAAAACACCGTAGAAAACGTCATTATGTCTTTATGTTGGTGTATAGTGCTCTCAATTCTTGAATGTGTTGTGCAGTTCTGGTCCCTCTCCTTTCTCTGTCTCAGAATATTGTAACATCAGAAAAGTGATAAGGATGATCAAAAAGGTTTCACTACAAGAGGATATTTAAAAAACAACTGACCAACCAAATAAAAAAACTAAACCTAGCAGTCCTCACCTTATAGAAAAGACAGTGGGAGAACAATGGGACAGATACAAGAATACAAATGCTGTAGTGAAGACTAATGGGAAATGATTCTTCTTTTCACTTCACAACCTAAGAATTAGGGAATATCAACTAAAAATCACTAAGCAGAAGTTACAAACCAAATATGTAAGAGGAAATATTACAGTTGATGCTTTGCTGAACAATTGCCATAGAGTTCAAAAGCATACATAGCTTTGCAATGCAACAGAGGAGCTCATGAAATTTCTACATAAAGATGCAGAAACAACCTTTGTCTTTGAGTGAGGGCATCTGCTAGGAGCTGAGAGGTATAATTGGAGGTATATCAATCTGTCATGTATTTCATGTTCTTTCCCTAGCTGTCCGCTCATGGCTGTGGGCTAGGTTGGCTCATGCCCTGATCCAGTGTTCCCATTCTAAAGCTCTTAAGGGTCATGAGAAGGCTTTTGAGGCCAAACTTTGTCATATGAGGTAGTAAGGATGCACAGGTATGCTATGGCATGGGCTTTTCTGTATCTTCTCCACTCTTTAAGGGCAAGAGTGAAGACTATATAGAGGTGTGGTAGGCTGTGTTCTGACTGCTGTCCCAACAGTTTTAATTAAAACTATCAAACCAAATTGACTGAAATGATTGGTCGTTACCTTACAGCTAACAGAACTAGTTATAACGGCACCAAGAAGCAGCATGAAGGAGCCTAGGACCAGCAAGCAGGCTTGCTTCTGCTCTTTGAGGCAAACATTTCACAGAAGTGAAGTTTGGAATTCTTTTCCATGTGATCGTGCGGTGGGGAGCTAACCATCTCTGCAGCCAAAGGCGGGATGCTCACAGTCTGTTCTATGCAGTGATTTACTTTTCCACATCTCTATGATAATTTGTTTCACAGTCCTGGCTACTGTCAGAATCCAGTAATTCCATGGTGACAAGACTTTGCTGAAGTTGCACGTACTGCTCAGTAGGTAATGAACTGAATGTTAAGATGTGTCAAAGGGGGGCTGTAGCCATCCGACCGTGGCCCATTCTTCAGCATATGTAGAACTGTTCTTCATTGTAATCCCAGCACTGACATAAATACAAAGGAGCTTTTACCTTTAGGTAGCATTTGTAGTTTCCAGTACACTCAATCCATTAGTTCTTAAATTAAATAAATGTAAATCCATAGATTCTCATTCCATATTATGTAGTACACATTTCAAAAAAACTTTAACTTTCCACCAAAACAGAAAAAGGGTCAGCCTTACTCAGTTAATATCAGCTCTCTGCTCGCTTTCAAAGACAGCAGGAATGTGTACTCCTTTTCAGAGCCCAGGCTTTTTCACCCCCCAAAACTGGCTTAATACTGAATCCTCATTTTCTTTCCAAAGATTAAACCCTTTTAAGTAACTCAGTTGAGAATCAAGCTTGAAAGTGTTGACTGTTACCTGTGTTTGTTTTTATTTGTTACCAGAACCAGCTGCCCCTCTGAGTCACTGGAAGGCCAGTATGCCTTGCTGCAGATCTTTCAGAGAACATTCCAACACTTTGTCCCAGGATTAACAGTCCAAAAACATGTATTAAAAAGAAATGCTCAATCAGTTCATTGCAGTTGTTGCTGTATTCCTGTAGCTGGGAGGTTATGCTGTACTGATGATTGTGGTGACTGGAATAGAACTGTGTCCCTTACCATCTGTTACTTTTCTGATTTGACTGTCAAGTGAGTGGTTGAGTGTGGATCTTACAGAACTGCTCCCTGCAGTGACCTGTGTTGGAGGTGAAAGCAGAATTCGGAAGGCTCTGTTCTTTCCCAGTGCTCACCACAGAGGCTCCAGCACGTTGGGAGTGGTTCCCAGCCACCGCAGTAGACTAGCTGGCGTCAAGTAGCTGGTGTTACTGCCTGTGTGTTGGAACTGTTAAGCACAAGACTGGGATGTGACAGATGTAATGGAGCAGTTCAGCAGCTCCCATAGCATGGAACTACTTTTATCAATAGTTTGTCCCTTGAGAATTTTTTTAATCTTTGGTCTTTTAAAATAGGGTGTTAAGATGAGGATGTGTTACCTGTTCAAAATGTACATAAAACTAAGATGTTTGATTCCAGTGCATTAATTTTTCCTGAGATTCACAGATATTTGCCACTGATTGATATCATCTGAAAGCTACAGAAGAGAAGGTTCTACTTTTTTTTTTTTAAAAAAAACTCCTCAAAATTCTGTGATATTTTTATTCCTGAGCATTCCATTGTCTGTGACAGCCCTTGGAAGATCACTAAGAGGGAGACGTGCTGTAGGGCAGGCAGGACATCTCCAGTTTTCACAGTTAATTCTGGAATCTAAAAGTAAACCAGGATCTTGTGTGAGGCAAGCAGGGCACTGGTGGTGGTTTCAGCGCTAGCTATAAAGAAAGGTCACTATTGGCAGCTAGCATGCCATGGAGTAGTCTATATATTCCAACATTTGACTGATAGGCCTAAGCCTGGCAGAGCAGGAACAAGGAAGCATGCTTCTCTGTCAAGTGCCATGGAGATCAAATGAGCCAGACACTGATACTGGTTATGAAACAAGTTGCAAGGTTCTTAGAAAATGATTTAAACATTTATCTCGTAACAGTGCTGGAAATAGGTCTCCAGAGGTCAGGTTACTGGTGTTCTAACATTGCTCATTCAAGTTCTGTTGTCTGTTCAGTGGGATCTGAGATCATCATTGACACATCCCTGTTCACTAGCAGCTGGACACTGGGTATGTGGTACCAGGCACAGCTATCCCTAGCCAGGATGCTGGTGCTGTGCCTGGTATTTCACGTTGCTTTTCCTTAGTTGGAGGACCTGCTCTGCAGTTGGAGCCAGGTATGAGGTTCCAGTTATAGAGTAACTTAAACCAAAGCCCCCCTCAGATGAGAGGGGGAGGACCCCAGAGGGCACTGTGAGGAGTATCCTGTCTGTGTTCTGATAGCACGGGAACCACTGTGTTTGTGGGTGTTTGTCCAGTGTCACGTATTTTGGAGCGCTGGCTGGAGCCCTGGTGTTCGCAGATGCCCCGACTGCGCCAAAGGCAGCCCGCCTTGGTGTGGGAGCAGCGCTGGCCCCGCTGCAGTACCCGGCGACTGAGGCGGTGCCCAGTAGCGCTGTGTGCCTGGAGGGATGCTCTGCTCCCGGGGCCGTGCCTCCGGGGTCCTCTGCTCTGCTCTACTCTCGGGGCCGTGCCTCCGGGATGCTCTGCTCTGCTCTGCTCTCGGGGCCGTGCCTCCGGGGTGCTCTGCTCTGCTCTGCTCCCGGGGCCGTGCCTCCGGGATGCTCTGCTCTGCGCTCGGGGCCGTGCCTCCGGGATGCTCTGCTCTGCTCTCGGGGCCGTGCCTCCGGGGTGCTCTGCTCTGCTCTCGGGGCCGTGCCTCCGGGGTGCTCTGCTCTGCTCTGCTCTCGGGGCCGTGCCTCCGGGGTGCTCTGCTCTGCTCTGCTCTGCTCTCGGGGCCGTGCCTCCGGGGTGCTCTGCTCTGCTCTGCTCCCGGGGCCGTGCCTCCGGGGTGCTCTGCTCTGCTCCCGGGGCCGTGCCTCCGGGATGCTCTGCTCTGCTCTCGGGGCCGTGCCTCCGGGGTGCTCTGCTCTGCTCTGCTCTCGGGGCCGTGCCTCCGGGGTGCTCTGCTCTGCTCTGCTCTCGGGGCCGTGCCTCCGGGGTGCTCTGCTCTGCTCTGCTCTCCGGGCCGTGCCTCCGGGGTGCTCTGCTCTGCTCTCGGGGCCGTGCCTCCGGGGTGCTCTGCTCTGCTCTGCTCTCGGGGCCGTGCCTCCGGGATGCTCTGCTCTGCTCTCGGGGCCGTGCCTCCGGGGTGCTCTGCTCTGCTCCCGGGGCCGTGCCTCCGGGATGCTCTGCTCTGCTCCCGGGGCCGTGCCTCCGGGGTGCTCTGCTCTGCTCTCGGGGCCGTGCCTCCGGGATGCTCTGCTCTTGGGGCCGTGCCTCCGGGATGCTCTGCTCTGCTCCCGGGGCCGTGCCTCCGGGATGCTCTGCTCTTGGGGCCGTGCCTCCGGGGTGCTCTGCTCTGCTCTGCTCTCGGGGCCGTGCCTCCGGGGTGCTCTGCTCTGCTCTGCTCTCGGGGCCGTGCCTCCGGGGTGCTCTGCTCTGCTCTGCTCTCGGGGCCGTGCCTCCGGGGTGCTCTGCTCTGCTCTGCTCCCGGGGCCGTGCCTCCGGGATGCTCTGCTCTGCTCCCGGGGCCGTGCCTCCGGGATGCTCTGCTCTGCTCTGCTCCCGGGGCCGTGCCTCCGGGATGCTCTGCTCTGCTCCCGGGGCCGTGCCTCCGGGGTGCTCTGCTCTGCTCTCGGGGCCGTGCCTCCGGGGTGCTCTGCTCTGCTCTGCTCTCGGGGCCGTGCCTCCGGGGTGCTCTGCTCTGCTCTGCTCTCGGGGCCGTGCCTCCGGGGTGCTCTGCTCTGCTCTGCTCTCGGGGCCGTGCCTCCGGGATGCTCTGCTCTGCTCCCGGGGCCGTGCCTCCGGGGTGCTCTGCTCTGCTCTCGGGGCCGTGCCTCCGGGATGCTCTGCTCTGCTCCCGGGGCCGTGCCTCCGGGGTGCTCTGCTCTGCTCTCGGGGCCGTGCCTCCGGGGTGCTCTGCTCTGCTCTGCTCTCGGGGCCCGCAGCCCGCAGAGGGTTAAGTCAGCCTTGCGCACCGTGGATGGGTGTCGCGGGGGGAGGTGGGGTGGGGTGGGGGGTGGGCGCGGCGGATCTGGCAGCTCCTCCCTCAGCTGGCGCTGCCACCGCAGCTGCTCTCCGCAGCCCAGGCTCTGCCTGCGCACCGGCGGCTCTGCAGGCGCTCCTGTAACGGCTGCCGCTCCATGGGCCGCTCACCCCAGGACAGGATGGTACGTGCATGTTCCTTTCCTACTCTGTCGGCCTCACCCGGAGGCTCCAAGACTTTGAGAGGGCAGTGGAGGGTGTTGGTAGCGGTCAAAAATAACAAGCCCCTAATAACTATTCATGGCAGTGGGGTGGGTGCAGGACTGAGACCGCCAGCACTGGCTTTGTTATTGCTCTGATGCTGTTTGTTGCTTTGAAGAAAGCTGGTCAACCAGGGGAGGACAGGTTATTCTTGGGGAGGTGACTGTAAATTTAGGTACCTGGCAAGCAGACTTAGCTCTGACCGGGCTCTCTTGCTCTCCTCTGCCTTGTCTCAGGGGGCGACTTGCTAGGTCTGCTCTGCCCTTGTAGAGGAGCGGCTGAGGAAATCTTTGCGGAGCAGTCTATAGCAGATGGATTTTTCTTTCCTTGGAATTTGATCCTATTGGAGTAGGGGGAGTGACCGACTGGTGGTTGAAGGAAAAAGGACTAGTGACAAGAAGGAAAGGTGTCTGCAGATGGAGCTTTTTTTTTTTTTTTTTTTTTTCAAATGATCTGAGGACCTCGCCCCTTCTCAGCTGCTTGTGTCCTGAGTATAGGAACAGAAACTGAATTCCCTAGCTGCTCAGCTGTTTACTGCACTTGTGTAGTAGCTCAAACACAGAGAAGGATGTATGAAGATGGGTCTAGAGAAGAATCTGGAGAAGATATTCTGCCTGTAAGGGACTTAAGGAGTCCTGCAGTATTATGATTTATCCCAGTATGGTGTTTCTTGAAGGTGGTGTGCTGCTGGAGAAGGGAGGAGGTGGCACAAGGCATCTCACAGATGCTCCCTTTGGGCAAGGCTTGGTGAAAGCCAGTATTAATGTCTGTATCACTGTTCAACTCCGTGCTGATGCTGGAATGAGGCTAATGCCAGTCAGGAGGGGGAGGGTTGTTAAGGTGGACTGTCATGCTGCTGATGAGATGGAAGAGAGATACAGGGCCCCTTTTGCAATTTCTCTTTCCTTTGGTGCTGCACACCCACACATGAGCAGTCTTGAAGTATGTGAAGTCTGGCTTTGAGCTGTTCAACACTACATTCTTCCACTACAGGAAGCCAAAAAGCATCCAAATGTGCCTGGTTAGTGGAGGAGGAAAAAGGAAAGGTTCTTGTAAAGTGTGAGTGATGCAGCCTTTCTAGGGCAGCAGAGAAGAGGAGATGCGGCCAGGCTTGGAGCTGATTTTCATCCTAATAGTCTATAGGGAGGGATTTTGTGCTTTAGAAATTAGAATAGCAAAGTGCTTTCTTTTTCCTAGCAGTGGTCCTTTGTCATCCCTTATTCTGCTACAAATCCCATGTAGCACAGAGGTATAAGGGGCCAGCTTCTCTATGATTAGCTCTCTTGCATCACCACCGGTACAGTGTGACGCTGATACCTTTGCAGTCCACAGACTCACAGGGTTCTATTTTTATAGGGTATCTGTGGCATCGTTTAGCATTGCCACCAGCAAACATCTTGTTAAAAGTGTTAAATCATCTGTATACTAATGCTAAAATGTGTTGAAGTATTTCAAAACAGGGCCTTTTATCTCCAGGGTCCAGAGCTAGAGAAGCTGGAGCAGGGTTTGGCACATTGCACAGACCAGGATGCATGACCACAAATATCTGTTAGACACTGTTGTTTTGGGGGAGAAGGAGAAGGGGAAGAGGCAAACCTCATTGACCAGGGAGGGAGCAGTGAAAAGAAGTCAGCCGTGATGCCAACAAAAGCTTTCTTAACAGAGAGAGGGGGCTGAGAGCG